ATGTTACATATCAAAATGGACAGTGGCCAAGAAGAAATTTATTTTCCAGTGGATGAACTTGATGGGATAATACACTTTATGTGGACCAAATGTAAAGGGCACTATCTGTAAATCAATTGAAAAATGATAAGACTAAATAGATATAGCCAGCCTAAAGCTTTATCTCTTTCTGGCTTTATCTTAACTGTAGGTAATCTATACCATTTGAATTGAAGAAACGAACATGAAAGTCGTGATAAACCTTAAGGGCTTAGGGCTTGCAGGAGGACATGACGTGACATGCAATAAATGCCTTTAAAATCAATCGAGATAATTACTCTGCACAGTATGCCTACATTACTTAATTCATTGACCATGCATACAATCAAGGCAGGAAGACCTCATATTTTGGCAAATGTATGTGATTCAATAGAGATTAACTTGAGAAAATAATATTTGGAAATTCAAGCATATAGTTCAGAGGGATCAGTGCACGATAAGAGGATAAAACAAGAATAAAGAGAGGATATATAATATTAACTTTAAAATCTACCATTTACCATGAGGAGACACATTGAACAATATTTGAAACGGATTCTACGCTGTAATCATATCAAACTTGTTCTTATTTTAATACTTGTATTGATAGTTATACTGCATAAACTACAAGGAACATCATATGCAGCTAAGGTTTTTAACAGTTCTGGCATTTCCCGATTTTTCTCTCAACCAAGAACTGCTGAGGAGTCGCTGTATTTGAAGCTGTTAAAAAAGCCAAAGTTGCCCCTGGATACCACTAGGGTGTTTTATAATGGATTACCTAAATGTGGCTCAACTTCTCACGTGGTATTGCTTGATAAATTAGCAAAAAGGAACAAATTTAAGTATGTTTATAAACCTAGTGGAGGAATAAAAACCACAGGAGATGAAGCACGAACATTATCTTATATCAATGATTTTATGAAACAATCAAATTTTGTAAGATATCATGATATCTATTTTGTGGATTTTAACAGCTATAACTATTCAAACCCAATATATTACAATATTGCACGTGAGCCGTACTCACGCATGGTGTCTCTGTATTATTACAAACAGCGTACATGTCGTCCTGGATTAGCTTGGTGTCTTGATATGGAGCATAGCAAAAACATGACATTTGATGAGTGTATCATGAACAATCCCGACAACTTAAACTACTGCGGTGCATTCCGAGAGATAATGCGAGTGTTCTGTGGCACGAGTGACATATGTCTTAACAATACCCTGTCACACCTAGGAGTACAACAGGCCAAGGCAAACATAGCCAAGCACTATCAGTTCATAGGCCTTTTAGAGGAACTCAATCTTAGTCTGCTTGCACTAGAGAAACTTTTCCCAAAATATTTCACAGGAGCAACCTTGGGGAGTGGAAGGGCTAATGTTGGAAAGAATAAAGTCCAGCCAAATAAAGAGACAGAATCAACTATTAAAGATTTGCTTAGATACGACTTTGATGTATATTACTTCATTAGAGCTAGATTCTACCAACAAATTAGACTATTAGGACTCAATGAAAGTTATTCAGCTCAATAGTTAAGTGATTATAGACTCTCATCAGAATATTATATAACATCTCATTCATTCAGCTCAGATTCATTAATAAATAAATAGTACCATGGGTACTGGGCTCACATGGTATTGGTCAGCAAGGAGAATAGTGAATGATGGCTAAAATGGCAAAAATTAAAAAGCATAAATTTTTGCCAATCCTTTTACAAAATTATCCCATTACACTACTCTTTACAGTGATATGGTTTTTTCTAATGAAGGACAGCTGAAATCAGTTTTAAAGCTACTGAATTGACAAAAAGTGAATTTTCCACAACTAAAATGGCAGCCTCTGAAAAAATAGGAAAGCTTTTGAACTTGGACTCCTGGAAGAGGAACCAAAATAATTTAAAATAGGAATATTATTGCTCCAAATAATTTGGGTAGGTATGTGCAGCATGGTCAATTTTGGCTTTGAGCATAAAACATGGAACTTGGCCAATCTGAGAGGAAAAACATGAAAAAATGTCTAAGGAAGTACCCTTTTTAAGTCAAAATTCAGTTTTTCTTCAGAAAATTATATTAAATTTGTTAAATCAGTTGCTGAGGCCTGGAACAAATCACTAGCAAAGTTGATTGTATAGTCAATTATTCAGAGGATTATTCTCAGAGGAATTAAACATGGAAACCTTCAATCTTGAGAGGAAATTAACATGGAAAAATGCTCAAAATGGGAGTCTTTTGGGGGGGGGGGGGGGGGGGGGGGCACATAGGAATTAAGAAGTATATTACCCAATTTCTTGGCAAAAAATTGTTCACTATACGCAGGTTTTACTATAATACATGATTGATAATTAATTTAAAATATTTAAGTATTATTGCTGTGTTTTGTATTTTCTATACTTGTATAAATGTAACTCTTTTCAAATTTCCCTCCATTTTCCACAATTTGGAAATCTGCAGTGAATAATTTTTTGGTTTCTCAAGACACCCCTGATGTCAAATATACCCCTTAACTCCACAAGAAAACATTGGTTTTTCAATCGAATGGTATCATATTGTTAGGAAATGATTTTAATCTTTAAAGCGATATAATCCTGCTAATTCTGATATCATCCCATCCGGTGAAATCATTTGAGACTTCGTTTCGTTCTTTCACATTCACGCCATCTATTAAATTACTTATTTTCAAACAACATTCTTATGTTTGGACAGTTATAATATGAAATACATGTAACGTTAAAGCTGGACTACGCTCCGAAACGCAATCTTGGGTTGTTTCGGGGGTGAATTTTATCATTTTGAGCTTAATGTAAGATTATAGAATGATGAACAAATGGGGCAAATCTTGTGTAGAAATACTTACGATATATGTGTCATTTCAAAGGTTTTCCATTGAATTTGCTTCGATCGGAGCCGGCGATATGATTTTGGAAAGGTTTCTAAATGAAGAACGTGACGTCACTTCCGAATCATAGCATTCAAAATAAGTAGCGTTTAATTACTTCCTCCATTCATTATAATATGGTGGTGTAGCGGTAGAATCCTCGCCGAGCACGCGGGAGGCCCGGGTTCGAATCCTGCTTTAGCCTTTTTATTTTTTTAACTAAATGATTGTTCTTTGATATTACGCAGAAAAAAACAATTTTTATTTACATAAACTTTATATTAGAGCTTGAAAATGTAAAAACAATATATGTCAACATATTGCGTTTTGGAGCGATGTGCAGGTTTAATATTTCCAAAATTAACTTATTAATGTTTTCTCATCAAAGAGATGGTTTTTGAGGTAGATATTGCTCTTGGCCATGGTATAAGGTCGTTATTCACCTGTCAGGATGATATGGGGAATACCCCTTGGATGATATCGATATTTCCCTCGGTCAATATTAATATCATCCTTGTGATATTCCCATATCAAATCCCTCCTTTTTTTATCATACATATGATATTTATCCTTAAACTTGGGTATTGTTTTTTAACCTACCCTGTATATACAAGTATATATATTTTTTATCAAAATCAAAGTAACATATTTACAGGTTTTAGTGGCTATGACTCCCAAGAGGGAGTATTAGGTGCCACATAATGGTATTTACAGTGATTTATACTGTACATGTAGACTAAGAAATGTACATGAAATTGTGTAAAGTATGATGTCACACATAATTGAGAGAATAAACTGATTTAGTACAAATTGTTAAAGCAATAAAAATGTGAAAAGTAAGAGAAAATATAATTTCAATATCAAATTGAACAACAAGATATGCGATGAAAGTTTTGGGATAAACAAGACCAATGTTATTGATACAGCGAATAATTTGTGGCGTGATAAAAACAATTGTGAAATAATAATCATGTGAGAATATTTTTTGTTAAAAAATCATGTGTGTCATCATTTTCTATATATAGTTAACATGGGGAGGGTAGGGATATCTACAAGGACTTAACTGATAGCTTTTTGCGCTACATCGATCTTTTGACTTGCTCCCTAAATAATACCAACTAAATCTTTTAGGTATGTTATTTCCATTCTGTATGTGACAAAGTAGTATCAAAACTAATCCAGTAAGTGTACAAAGTATAATAAAGTTTAGAGAGGATGTATTGGGATGTATTTAGTGACCAGGTTTATATCATGATGTTGTCACAAGATTCAACTGATTGCATTAAAGGATTTAAGCAATAAGGACTCAATTAATTTTGGATGATTTTTCAAGTGTCCCCGACATCCTCCTGTCTAACAAAATCCAAAATATTCATAGTCAGTGTTGTTGATGAACAATTTCTCCAATATTTCTTGTTGTTTCTATCAATTTTAACATCCTGGCCATCTTGGTATCTTTCTTATATCTTTAAAATGCACCGAACGAAAAACCCAGGGATTTTGGCGACTATTTAATTTGGTGAATTTTCCAGTTCACAGAAATTCGCGAATTTAAAATGCTTGCCAAATTAAAGACAAATACAGTATCCAGGAGTTGTATATCGTTCTCAATAGATAATTATATACAATGAGTGTTGGTTTTATATTGCAGCTATGTAATGCTATTATACAATCATATAAAGCACTTGGGATAATGCATGTAATCTCTCTACTTATTAATGAATTTGACCATCGCTTGCTCCCCTATACAACAGTTTGTTCATTTATGCAAAACACAATTTGCTGTACATGTGCTTAGGTATATAAAGCATTATGCTATTCGGTTTTGATTGATATGTGTCTGTAAATAGGATTGTTTTATAAAATGGATTGTTGTATATCATATGCAATGGAATAAAAGATCCTTTATTGAATTTATATGTTTAGCTAATATTCAATGTTTATGTTTATTTTTTTACTATCAATATATCAAACTTTGAAGAAAGTGTTAAGATCCCAATTCTAATGGCAAGTTCTGAAAGTTCCATTTGTATTCAATTCCATACAACAGCCCCGGGACAACAGCTCCCTCCCTCTATATAACATCATTTTGTTCAATACTTACAGATTCAGGGTGGGATTCATTGGGAATTTGGCTTGCCTCTCGATAAACTTGTTGTCGTACTTCTTTACGTAACTCTACCTAAAAATATGAAATAAGAAAAACTATATTACAATACAGTTTTACTTGTTTGATTTGTTTGTTTGGTGTCACATCAAGTCACTCAAGAAAAGTATGTTCCAATCCATTTCTGAATATGCTATCATTTTCAACAATTTTCAATTTAGAATTTGGAAAAAATGTGGGCCCCAATCATAAAATTTTTGGCCCAAAATCTAGACATTATTGGGCCCAATTTCTTAAGAATAGCCCCATCAATAAAAAATTATGCTTAGTAATATAATAGGGAGAATCCCTTATCTAGCATAGCTAACCCTCTCACTATCTTTTTCAACAACTATGAGATGGAGGAACAAAAGAACAGGATTACGGGGAGGAGGCAATATGTGATAGAATATAAGATAGCGAGTAACATTGACACCTAGTTATGTTTAAAATTTCCAGGCTAAATAACCAGATAAGTCATTTTCTTGGCCTACCTAGACTCAAATGATTAAATGATTTAATTTAGTGAACTTTATTAGATAAATATTAAATTATTATCTAAATTTTTGAAATAATTTATAAACAATACATGTACTTCAGGGTTATTGTTATAATGTTAAACTCACCCCATAACTTTTTAAATTAATAAATCAGTGCCAATTGTGAGACTCATTAGTATTTAACTAAATGCTAAATGTTAATTAGATTCAATAATTGGAAGCAATTGAGCACTAAATAAACAATCTGATTTTCATTTTCAAACATGGTGCATTTTATACGAACATTAAAAAGCAGTTTTGCCATCTTATTACAGAATCTTAAAGTGGGAATATTGAATAAATGTCAGTTAATCGTACCATATTTGGTACTGTTTATTTGCTTTGCTACAATAACAATGATATACCAACGTCGTGAAAACATAGAGAAACTGGTGGGGAAATCAACAACACATCTTTTTGGAGAAGGTGATGTAGTAAAGGAGAAGAAGCTGCCTGGTTTGCTTATAGTTGGCGTTCAGAAATGCGGGACCCAAGCCATCGCAACTTTCTTAGCGCATCATCCAAATCTCACAAGAGCGGGACATTGTGAGATACATTTTTTTGATAAAATTACAGAAAAAAAGCCAAAAAGCATCCAGGAGTACATCGATATAATGCCAGAAACTGGCCCTTGGGAAATTGCCTTCGAGAAAACACCAGCTTATTTTGGAGGAACTGACCCTGTTCATATTTATAACATGTTGCCTGATGTGAAAATATTAATTCAAATGTGCAATCCCATTGACCGCGCAATGTCTTCTTTTCTGCACTCTCAGCATTTAAATCCAAAAGTAAAATTCGCGAATAATGCTTCCTTCGAGAGTAAAGTATTTGATGCCAATGGAAATATCAATACAACTTGCATCGCTATAAGGAGAGGAGTATATGTTTATGATCTTCTTGACTATTTAAACTATTTTCCACGTAAGAATATTCTCATACTTGAAACAGAGGAGTTGAAAAAGAATCCAGCCGAGACTTTACAAAAAGTTGAAAAATTCCTGAATATTCCCCCCTTTTTTAAAGAAGAGCAATTTTATATGCATCCAAAGTTGAACACAAGTTGTGTGCATATGGAATACCTACATACAGAGCGATTCTCGGCAGAAGAATGCCTGGGTGGAAACAAACACAGAAAGCACCCAGATATGAACCCAGATACTAGACAAAAACTTCAAAAGTATTTTACTCCGTTAAATAAAAAGTTAAGCATTGTTGCTAGAATGAATTTCTCATGGATATAGTTTCTTTACCCTGACTTGTCTCAGCATTCTATTTTTCCTAGGGAAATCAATGAAGGGGAAAATGTGGACGAATCAAGATTTCAAATTTTCAACCTATTGGACAAATTCGTATCCTGTATATTGTATTTTCTACAGCAGCTGGTTCAACACTTACTGACTCTTGTCCTGAGCTATGGTGGATATATATATTTATCCCATACTTGGACGTGTTACGGGTACATAAAGCCGGTTTGTAAAAACTTATATTTTCATCAGCGGGCAGATATAGCTTTACGTCCCGCTCCGAGCGTGCAGATATACTGTAGATTGGGTTAATTTGGCGCCCGCTTTAATTTGGCGAATTTGGCGAAAATGAAAAATTCGCCAATTTAAATCTTCGCCAAAATTTAGAATGAATCCCCAGGAATTATCTAGGGTATTTGGTCCAGTGTATTTAGGTCACTTCCGGCTTAGCTTTTTCCAAAAATATGAAAAAATGTCTCTCATAAATTGGCTCAGAACTGGTCAGTCACGCATTGATACTCAGGGAAAAACGCAGTGTGGTAGCAGCATAGATCGAGGTACAAAATGTAAAAGATGATCTCACAAAAATGTACAAACGTGGTGAATATCGCCAGTGGTCCTTAAAATTTTTTTTTTCTTTTTGCAATCCGCCAAATTAAATAGCCGCCAATATGCCAAAAATGGCAAAATCGCCAAATTAAGTATCGCCAAATTAACCCAATCTACAGTAGTATATCTGCCCGCTACGTCATAATCGCTGTTCCCGTATTGGTTCTTTTTTGTAACATTCGCATACTGTAAACGACAATGGAGAAAAACGCAGACAATCACCGGATCTGTTTGATGCTTTAAAGAAGGGAAGGAGCAGTATACCCTGTTAATAATCAAAGATTTGAACAGGAAAAGAAACAAGAATACAAAACTGGACATAAATATATTAAAATAATTCTACGGTTGGTTGCAAAGTTTCTGAACTGGCCAATTGAACAATGTGATTGGTATGGGATAAACATATCATCCTATAGTCGGTTCAGGATATTTGGATTATCCCTTGGCCAATATAATATATCTACCCTCGGGACCTATGGCCCTCGGGCAGATATATTATATTGGCCTCGGGATAATCACAATATCCTGAACCTCATATAGGATAATCTCTGTATATATATGGATATAAACAGTACTCCCAGTAATTTTCGTGCACTACTATATTTCACACTTTTCGCAGGTTTTGGAAAATTTGCGAAATACGATAGCCACGAAATTCCTACAGTGAAGAAATGTGTACACTGTATTTAATTCACAATAGACTGAAACAAAAATCTAAAAACCAGCTTGTTCAATAAGTTCACGGAAAAATGCTCTCATTTCAATGATTTTTGATATCTTCTCATGAAATAATGGTTACTATGGTAACTTGACTTTTGGGTAGGCGGGCAATTTTTACATTACATTATTCAAAAAAACAACAGAATAAGAGGCAAATTTATGAATGAATCACATGCATTTCCTCTTCTCCACTCGTACACATGTACATGAAATAACTTTAATAGTCACAACTATTGTCCCATAAGGTGTTCAAAATATCCTCCCTCATGTTTAATGCACAGTCGCTGGCATGGAATTCAATATATTGTTGAAACTGTGCTCTGAAGCCATCAGGAAAAATTGTTAAAGGGCCATTTGAAATGCAGTCGAAAGTTGTTGCATTGTTCCATAATGTGCACGTCTTAGTTGATCCTTCATCCTGTTGAAAACAGCAAAATCGAGGATTGTCTCGTTTGAAGGGCAGGGTCGCAGGGTTAATTGGACAACTTGGAGAAGGTCATTCTCATCTTTAAAGGTCTTACCCTGCTGATTAGCATTCCATTCTCTATTTAAGTATAAAAATGAGATATTGCCTGAACAGAAGAGTATGGTGCATGGTCTAAGAACTCAAGACCTAGCACCTTTATAGCTTTAAAAATTTCATGAAAAAATATCAAAAATCATTGAAATGAGAGCACCTGGTAGCTATGAGCCTGTTAGGTACATCTCATTGGAGACATTTTTGTACAAGAAAATAATATAGGCAGGTAGCATTTTCCTAAAATGTACCTTAAAGGTCCCATGTAAAATTTGAAAATATAAATAATCATTCAAATAATCATTCAAATAATCATTATTACTTTTCATGACTTGAATAATTTAACTCCTGAAATAAAAATGTTCATCTTATGATTTTCAAATATTTGAATATTTGAATATCCTGCCATTTTAGAAACAAGTTTAGTATATAGATCATACAACACTGAACAATATAAAGCACATTTCTTTCTCTACTCCATTGAATAAAACAGGCAAAAGTTATATTATTTCAACCATTCATTCTATTATATTATGCATATATAAACGTTTAAGGATACAATAATGATAAAATATGTTTTTATCATGTTTTAAATATTTGTGAATCATAAATTCACAATTTTTGAAACAAAAAGTCTTTCAAAATAGGCTTTTTGAAATCAAACTGAAATGTTGATAACATTGGGTAAGACTATCATATACGCCAAAGTGGTTAAAACTTTATATGGGGCCTTTAAAGTCCAGTCATGTTTTTTAGGAAAGTGGTTTTAACTTTATATGGGGCCTTTAAAGTTCAGTCATGTTTTTTTTGAAAAAACTACAATATAGATAGCATCTATCTATCCTTTACACTTTTGATGATTGATATGATTTAATTTTATTGTTCTTAATGAATATTCCTTATTCCTTACTTGTTCCTTTTCATCATTATTAACCCTTTTTTACATCTAAGAGTATGGATTGTGGATTGTGAGAAAAAATATTCCATTCAAATTGAAAATTGATTCTGTTAATTACTAATTGCTTTTTGCATTGTAATATATTTCATTCATTATTATGTCAATATAATTTGTCATTTAACACAGATGTACCTAATTATTTAGCTTGTAGATGTAAAATCACACCTTAATGTGCGATGATGTAAACAATCAAATAAATGAATTGTAAATATTAAATGTCATATTTTCAATGCAAATCATAAACATATACTGCTAATACTGCATTACACAATTTTTTCAGAATCGGGATCAAATGATAAAATGCAGGATTGTGAAAAATTCATTTTTTTATGTTTTGAAATATGACTTCTACAATATTAATTTGTATTATATATAATTTGTATTATATAAAAACCACATTGACTACCAAATAACATTTCATAGTACTACATGTATATATGACTTTCAAGTGAAAATGATATCAAACCATGGATTGCATGTCCATTCTGTCATTCACTTTCTTGATATTTCAAAATAAAACTTGTTCAGATGTTGCCCTTGTTGTTAAAAAACAAATAACATAGGGGGGGAGAAATAGATACTTTCCTTCGGATGGTATTAGCAATAAAACATCATTGTTATACACCATTCAAAAGTTTGCGTGAGACCCCCCACACAGGGAATTTGATTCATTATATTGCCCCAATAAATAGTGGCTTGTCAAGCTTGTTCTCACCATCCCTCCGAAAAAAGTTGCATTTCTGTGTTCTACTTGTATTCAAAGCCTTGTTATAATTTGATATACCGTAGATGAATACAGAACCGATGGAGGTTACCTATTAAATTAAAAAACCGATGTGGATTTGTACGTGCAACCGTGTCAAACTCTTGAATCCGCCCACCCATTCCATAGAAAATTATCAAACATACAGCTATATTATTCCCCACTTTTGTTGAACAGATACAAACAAATAGTAAACAGTGCCTCTTTCGGCTCATTTATGTCAAAACCATCAGGTGATTTGAACGGAATTATCTGACATTCTACGAGAAGATATGTTATTACGAGAGTAATTGTGTCAATGTAAGCCTTCTGGAGTTCTTTTCATTCATTGATTAAACATAGCACTTGTACTGGACTTTCTGCGAAGAATCTTATGACCATATATGGTATCCCTAATCAAAATGTGGATGTTAACAAAGTACTGCACATGTATCCCTCAACATTCATAAGCATTAGCCTGCTAACAAGGATATCTGATGTTTAATAAAAAGAGTAGATTCGGGGAAAGGACCCGAAGGTCGGGAATATTATTGCTCCCAGGGTGGGAAAATTGACACATTTATTTGGCCACGGGGTAAGGAATTAGACAGGCCAATATTTTTTGTCAAATTCCCCATTCTTGCCCATATGCTAGAAGGGTCTCATGCAAACTTTTGAATGGTGCATTATAATCAAGAAGGGAGGGAGTACATGGACGTAGCGATATTTTTCTAAGTAGTAAGCCACCACTGGAACAAGAGTTGAGCGAAGCAAAAAACGAGCCTTTAGGGGGGGTTTGGTTCTCCCCAAGGAAAATTTTGAAATTTGGTTGTATTTGGAGCGAATTTGCAACCATCTGGTACGCCTGTGCTTACCCAACATACTGGGCACTACGCCTATGGAGTAGGCCCAATACAAAATGATGCTTTTACCATCAAGTGATTTATTACATAAAGGCTTTGAGACAAGGTCAACATGCCCCAATAAACATAATCAATCATGGTTTGGTTGAAGGTAAAGGTCATAGTCTATGTTTGCATTCATTGTATTACTAACATGTCACTTACACCCAATGATGCAACTCATCATTAAATTTATTTTCATTAATGAAATAATAAATAAATTAGATATCGTCAACAAGATGGCTGAAAACAGTCAAGGCAAACACCTTATCAATCATGTGACACAAAAAGCCAGTTTAAGGATTTACAGGCCAACCTAACAAAAACTGGGGAAAAACAAAACATAATTGCTTATCAGTAAATTTCAAATATAATATACAGTAATAACATACTTGGTCTCAAAACTCAATTAAGTATCCTAATAAATATATCTGAAACCGATAAAATTATTTGACTTACTGTTTTAATTTCTTGAAGGTCTTTCCAAAGTTGAATCTGAAAAACAAGCATGGATGGTTATAGATTACAATATTACAACTTGTACAAAAATTGCAATGGTGATATTTTGTGATATTATTAAATAAGTGGACTTTTTACTTCGACATACAATGTACATGTACTTACACGTATTAGGAATGTGGATGTATGAGAGGATTGTTCATATATGATAATGTTGTTTTCTTTTTTTTTGTTTGTGATAAAGTAGTGTGGATTTCCAATTATTTCATTTTTGCCCAATTTTATTGTTATTTCAACCCTTTGCATTCATTTGACCTCTTAAAAGAGAGCTTCATCAGTTGAGAACTAAAATCTGCTCCCAATCAGGCCTACCTCTTTGAATGTAGAGAAATTAAGAATATCATGCCTGTAGCCACCAGGGGTTCGAGGGGTTCCTGTGAACCCCCGGTCAAAAATTCCCAAAAGTTCTCATAATTATATTAGATAAGATTCATATTTACTGTGTTCATAGTAGCCAGGACAGAACAAGTCATATAAACCTCTTTTTTCCTCATAACTTTTCAATTCTCAATAATTTTTCATGAATTTTTTGGAGGGATGTCTAAAACCAAAATTATTTTATCAGATTATTAAAACATATGGTAATTGGCCATTTCATTAGATTCTTTTTTTTTTGAAAGGTTGCGAATTCATAATGATGTATTGGAGTATCTTTTAGGATCAATATTTTATAATGAAGTGTATTTTTCAAATTTAAATCTCAAATAAATAAGATTTGTGTCAAATGACAGTGATAAAATGATCAATATCATTGAATTGTGTTTTAAAAAAATTTAAATCCCAAATAAAATAAGATTAGTGTCAGAATGAAATAGAATACTAATATCACAATTTAAATAACTAACTTGACGTTAAAAGTAATCTCGCAACATTGTTAAGACAAAAGGTTACATAGGTTATCACAAATAATTTCAGACAGTTATATGTAGATTAACACTACTTTCTGACCATGATGACAGGGATATCTTTTAGAATTAGGTTGCGCATACATGCAAATGCCCATGGAAAAGCAAAAATAGAACCCCACTTGAGAAATCCTGGCTACAGGCCTGAATATTATGCATGATTCACTAGTAAACATACCACTTTATAGATGTCTCCAACACCTTTCCGATTCTTGATATTTTCTTCAATCTGTTGAGTATTTCGAGGATCGCATAATTTTAACCAATCAAATGTTGGCTCTGGCAGATCAAGTGGAATAACTATACTGTAATCGGTCTCATTGCTACGATCACCATTTGAAGGTATCCTGTTTTCTCCAGTTGTACTCATACAATAATTCATGTGAGGCTGACAGGTCAAAGATGGATTCAATGTTATTCCTACTTTTCTATTTAAACTTGCAACTGAGTTTAACTGATCTATTTTGCCATGAATTCTTGGGATCTTCATCATGTAGTTTCGTTGTAGGTTTAAGCATGTTTTCAATGCTCTACATTTCAGTAAGCAACGACCACAAATCATTTTCAGCTGTAAAATCATGGGTTTAGTCAATTTTCCTTCCTTACTCTGTATACTCAAGAACTGTTTCTGAAATACAAAACATAAAAATTAGTGTCCCTAATACCGACAATAGCTTTTTGTTTCAATATAGCAATCAACAGATAAGAGGGGGAAACCAGAATGATGTAACCACCTCCCCCTAGCCGGGGTTCAATAAATCTAAACAATTTTCTAAAAACCGCCATGTTAATAATATGTTAATATTTCATGAATAGAAATGGAAATGGATTGTTGATGAGATACTGAACGTTTTCATTTAAGGTCAGGGTGCATGATGGGAAATTTTCTGCATCCCTCAATTGAGTCACATGTTATTTTTCAAACAAGAATCACTCCTTCCCCACATTGTCTACATCTTCCAGGTTTGCACAAAGAGTGCACTTACGTGCCTAGAGAAGGCTTGTGAGAAGATTTGTTTTGTAAAATCATGGGCTTTCAACTAGAAAGCCCATGGTAAAATGTATAAAAAACAAGAAAATTCAGTGAAAAAAATCAGAAAATTTTTTCACTGAATTTTCTTGTCTTTTATTCACTTTATCAAAACATTCTTCTCACAAATCTTTTCTAGGCCATAAGTGCACTCTTTGTGCAAACCTGGAAGATGTAGACAATGTGGGGAAGGAGTGATTCTTGTTTGAAAAATAACATGTGACTCAATTGAGGGATGCAGAAAATTTCTCATCATGCACCCTGACCTAAATAGAAGTCGTCGCATTTTAGTCTGTTCTCAATAAGCTTACATATAGATGGTTGATGGTAGCCTAGTCGACAGGAAAATGGAGGAAATCTGAGAAATTTTATTTCACTGAAAGAAGAATAAATATCATGCGAGGCATAGGCCAAGGGAAAAGTACTAGTGAGCTGTATATAGAAGAGACAGGTCCACAAGTAAGATTGAAAAATTTTCAATTTTTTTTAGTCTTGGCACTAGTTCTCCTTACTGGTATCAAATTGTATTCCCAAATCTCTCCAAAATCTTCTTCAAAGTGTTTTTCAAACTTATATCATTGTTTTTTTCAAATCTTTATCTAAAAACTGCATATAATACTGCATATAAAACAACAACTATGGATATCTGCAATTGCCTGGAAAGCTGAAACTGATTGTCACTGGTGGAGGTCAGGGAGGTCAGCAGTGACCAATCAGATCACTTGTTTACTAATGAACTTGCCAAGCAATTGCAGGTTTTTCAGAAATTCTCTCTTTTAGACAGCATTATTTCCATATCATCCGACTGAGTTTCAATCTTAGGTAAGAGCTACGAACTATCAATTTTCTATCAACTCCCCATGGCTAATTAATACACTAAATATTGTTGAAATCTCCATCTTAACAAGTGGTCTAAGTCAGAGTTGTTCACCTGTCTCTTCTATATACGGCTTACTGTTACTTTACCCTTGGCCTATGATGCGAGGTAGACGATTCTTTGAACTAGGACTGCGTGTACAGATCAATGAAGGTGAGTTTATTATGTTTACATCAATAAATATAACCCGACCGGCCACTTAAAGGCAAATTCAAAACAACGAAGAGTGTCTTAATTATATTCTACAGTTGGGGACAAAAATAAATGACAGGTCGATTTTCGATCACCATTTCCTAATTATGGTGGTCTGAAAGCCCATAATTTCCAATATTGTCTAGATATATATCCCTTAAAATTTGTATATTTTACATTTTGTATAATCTCATCCACTGATGTATGGCCTCTTGTAAATTCTCTTATTTTTAACATGGGAAATCCTCACTTCAGCAAATCCACCTGTCATTTATTTATGTCCCCAACTGTATGGCCACACTCAGTAGCCATAGAATATGGTAAGACAAGACGTCTCGGTGGTTCTTTTTTATTCAGCCAGTTTTCAAAAATGTCAGAACAAGAAGAAGAAGAACCTGCTCTCACACCCAATACACAAAGACTAACTCGCTGAAATTGGATATCTCGCCGTAAAATTCCTTTTAGTGGTCCGATAACTTATTCCCCATGCTTTATTCAGCCAAAGCTATGTTAAAATCATGAGACTAAAATTTTTTCAACTTTTTCAACATGTTTTTTGCTCAAGAACAGCTAGAACTAGTGAGACTCAATTTCGATATAGCGGTTTTTCATTGGTCAATATTCTTACGAAAACAAATCTGTTGAAATACAACACGCTATAGCGAAATTAAATGTGACAGTAGGATACTACTGCCATCTTTCTTTCGACAAAGTCATTAGGTAAAGAGAAAAGTTTAACAGACCAAAAAAAGTCAAAAGCTTATTATCATATCAAGTTATGAAAAGTCAAAGTATGACAGCAGTAAATGGTCAAAGACTTTAAAGTGTTGATTTTATGGCAAATAGCTGGATGGTAAAAAAACATTCAAGGCCCATCCAAATGATGAACATAATTTAATTGTTTAATAGTTATCCAAGTATTACTTTTCATGGCTAAATTAAAAATTGTTTGCTACAATAGCCGATTCAAAGACTAGGATTTAAGACATTCATGCATGAAATAACTTGCAGTTGATTGAATATGAACTGAAGGTAACTAAGCATTATGACAATAACAATGATGAGAATTCCTTTGCATGATTTATTCAGTTCTCAAGATTCTGTTATCCAACATTCACAATTCTATCTTTGTATTTCAAAATTGACTGAAAAAATAAACAAACAATGCATATTTAACTTTACAATATTTTATTGACTTATCTTTATGTAACTCCACAATTTCTCTAGTAGTATTTTACATCAAAAAGCAAAATTTCATTTTTGCTTACTCTTGATAGTACTCTTGATGTTTGTTAGGAAAAACAGGTCAAATAGTCATGGCATTTACATTTTTTACCATTTTCTCTGTTAAACCTTTATCATATATACCAAGAATATCATATCCCTTAACACATTATATACATCAATATAATTACAATTTATAGAGTAAATGGAGAATAAAATCAATGAAGAGAAATTGCAACCATACGTATACACAAATGTTCATGTACTCTCATGCATGTACACATAAGTAAAAACAAGTCCATATATGCATATATAAGGGAGGCTAAGTTACATGATCTTAAGATGTGATAACCTGTACGTGAGCTTGTTATATTTCAACCCCCGGGGATTACTGTCCTGCTCTCAATTCATTTTTCCAGGGACCTAATTACAATTATTTCCATATATGTACCTTTATACTCAATCGACCAAGTAAACAGTTCAAACTAATTCACGGAGGACCATAATTCTATACCTTCACGTACAAGTTTTTAAAGAATATGTATCTTAACCTCCATATTCATAGTCCGTGTGTACAAACAAACACAAGTCGTTCATTATATGTACATACATGTTTGTGTATCGCTAGTTTTGTTACTGTTACAATACAACAGGGGCTCATTTAAGATATTAACATATTTTTGTAATATCTGTGTGATTTATCTTCCAAAATAAACCCCTCAATAGAGTGATACATTAACAGATTGACATTTAAATACCAGCCATATAAAATTGGCATAGCATGATATAATTCAAGCCTCAATATCATAACAGCTGTGTACATACATTGTGTATATCATCATTTACATTGGCAAAGTAAATATTTTTAAATCATACATTTAGCTCTTATTCTCGTCCAATGTCTTCTTTGTTTCATCAATGCATTATAAATCAGAAGCTTAATACAACTAAAATATAAAATATATAAAGAAAAATTAAATTGAATGTAATTTATAAAAAAACAAACTATTCCTAGTTCTATATTTACTATGGAAACTTTTAAAGAGAATAACTTCACATTTATTAAACATTACAATCACAGTATTGCACTAGCACAATTCTTTTAGTAAAGATGGACCTAATTGGTAGTTCAAATATATTTTTGAGATATATGACCCTCATACTATTAAATATCTCATGACTTTACATTCCTTTTCAAGTTTGATATCATAATTGAAAATAAGTTTGACATCACAATTAAAGGAACTTTTCAAGTTTGTCATCACGATTGAAAGTAACTTTTCAAGTTTGACATCATGATTGAAAGTAACTTTTCAAGTTTGACATCACAATTGAAAGTTACCTTTCTAAGTTTGACATCATGATTGAAAGAAACATTTCAAGTTTGACAATCCTGACTGAAAGAAACTTCAAGTTTGACATCACAATTGAAAGAAACTCTACAAAATTTGACATCATGATTGAAAGAAATTGTGCATGAAACGGGGACAATCTTATAATATAATAGCATAATTCAATAGATGCATACTGTACATTGTGATATGTATCAGTCTATTTTACTTAAAATTTGAGATGGCTTTTGTTCTAAGAATGTCACAAATGACATTTCGCAATGTTTTTGAAGAGATATATTGAATATCTAATGTATACAAGTATTACCCAACCATGGAGTAATTTATATAAATGTAGGGAAACATATGTGAAGGTGTTTCACAAGCAGGTTTAAATTTAATAAAAACAGAATATTTTACAATTACATGTAATAAAACTCAAGTTATAGTAAGGTTTTAATCTTCTATGCTTTCCTAAATATAATACAACTTCACATCATAGAAAATTAAAAGCTTTCTTTGTGGCAATTTTGAAACGTTCCGTTTCTATACTATGTACAAAATGTTCTACGAGATTCTACTATAAAGCCTTCTGCCACGTTTCTTGAGTAATAAATAATTTACTGGCAATATCAAGACATGCCACGTGGCTTATTGGGAGACTCCACAAACCTAAAATGTCTTCAATATATATTTTTGCAAAAAGTTACTTGTTTAGCCCTAGTAAATTACAGTGTTTCATTTTGAACTTTTACAAGATTTTCTGAAAATCAGACAAGCCATTATCATTAAAATGACAAAGGAGCATGTGACTAAAGGGTTAATTCACTGCAAATTCAAATAACTGTATACTGGTGCCTAAAGTGTTAATAAAATACAAATGACAAAAATGACATTTCACAAGTGTACATTATAATAATAAACTTTGATCATTTTGCTCGCTGGCCTCTCTTCTAATAATAATTTTTTCAAATAAAAAATGAAATGTGCTTTAAATAACCTCAAATATAGTGGCTTGACAGAACTGTGCAATATATATTAAATCATTCGACTAACTATTTTTAGACTTTTTTCTTATCTATAATAGTACTTTTTTGCTGTGTAGTTTATAAGCAGGTCTACAATATACATTTTACAATGTAAGCCCTCTACTTTACCCACACAAAACATTGATCTTAACAAAAACAACATTGTACACCTCAATAATTGTATACAATACAATTACAATAAAATGAAAGTAATGTACGGTAAAGTGTACATATATTGATTTAACATAAAGCAATGGACGGATTACCGAGATCAGAAGGCGAAACAAACTTTGAAGAATATTTGCCCACCATTTTAATCAGCAGACTTCTGTGATTTAAAGAAGTACAATGTTGTTCTTTTCTAGTTTTTATCGTAATGTTTTCTAACACTAACATGTATACGTGAGTTTATTGTTAAATAAATAAGCTGTGCAGTGAGTGCTTTCCCTGATAATCTAAACCCATATCTTTACTCAGACAGTAATTTTGATCAATCAACTGATCCTTAAATTCTGTATCCCCTCCCAAATAATCCACAATGTAACACTTTTCGACAAAAGTTCAAATTTTGACCTAACATATAAAATCAAATAGATCAAAAAGATCAAACAGAATGCATGTGAACTGATTTAACTTAATATGTATTATAAGTATAAGATGAAGCTTTGGAATATGTGTTGAGGATCAGGGTTTCTGACGGTGAATATAGCTCCCATTGTGACATCATTTTTTCACCAAGTAACCAATGATTTCATGTGATTGAACAGGTACTTTGATAGATAAGGATCTGAAACTGATGTCATTTATTTGTGTAGTCTAAATATCACATATACACATATAATCATAACACCATTGATAGCATAAAGATCGCATGCCCAAGTACATGTATAATCTAAAATTCCTCCAAAATGGCACATTTTTATATCCCCAATTCAAAATGATCCAGATAAAGCAAACATTATACTTAAAGATGAAATATTATTAAAAGTAGATGTACTCATATATACTATTCTTAAGATAATTCTTCTTCACATCTCAATTTTAGATTCAATTAAAAATCATCTAACTTAATACCCGCATTTTCATTCTCCAAATAGCTAACAAATTGAACTTTAACTTTATCATCAAATATACTAGAATCTCAGAACATACCCAATTTTATGGGTTGATTTTTTCAATCTACTATTAGTAATATTATCAATAAATTAATTAAAAGGTGCAATTAGTTACTTCACACGAAATGCACACATCACACGACACTTTCTTAAAAATGCTCCTTCTTCGTAAAACTGTGGCATTCAAAAATGCAGATTAATATTAAGGGGGAGTATGGTGCTAAATACAAAGCTGTTTGGTATTTATTGCCATCGATCTATAGCTACATATTTGTCCTATTTCGACAACCACATGTGGAACGATCCATGACATGCCCCATCTATTTTATAGAGGCATCCTACCCTATCACATAACCAGCTTTGAATAAGTCTGTATTTGCAGCAAATTTCCCCTAATCGTCATTAGCAAATGAAAATAGCACACAGTTTGATATATTCTTAATGAAAATGGCCGGCCTCCAGGCTTCGACGTTTTGTTATTTTGGTTCGTGGGCTCCTCCCTCAGAACGTGAATACCCTTGACCAACAAGTCAAATGTTGGGGAAGTGGGTATCATGATATTGTTTATCTGGCTTTGCTTTCTTCTTGTCTGTGTGAACCTGGGTGTGAGGTTTGTGCAACGTGGGTGCGGGGGAGGTAGACTGGGCCGGGTGGTTGTTCGTTAACTGTGGCAAAGTTTGATGCTGCAATAAAAACAAATATCTGAATTAATATTTAGGTTTAACTGCTGGACTGTTCTAGGGATCTGTTTCATTGGGGAATTGAGTATTTCACTTAGAAATATTGATATTTCACTCCACAATCTACTTCAATTTCCATTTGGGAGAAAATCATATGATATTCATAGTTCTTGCACAAAATTAAATGAAAAAGAACATTTTACAGGTGAATTTTCAATTCCAAATTTTGATGTTAATTTCTGTTTACCCCTCTAGATTGCTGTTTTTGTCGCTTCTCCTCCAGTTTCTTGGCTGCTTTCTTGTGGTCTTCGTTATACTGCGTAATACCATAGCCTTTGTTGTCAAAATATGGATGCTCAAGGAGTTCATCACATGTCAGTCTCTGCTGGGGGTCCATTGCAAAGCAGCCGTGCATGAAGCTCATGGCCTGTGGCGATGCCAGAGGGAATTTGTCTTCTAAAGGTTCCTGAAAGCATTAAGGAAAATCATAATAAAATACATACATGCATAAGAGAAGTGTTGCGATGAATGTTTTTTGCATTAATGATTTTTAATTTGAGCTTAAGTGGACTGAAATCAATTGTACCACTGAATCTGGCCCTAAGTATCTTGCTTTTATTTTGAAGAAAGATTACAGCTGTGAAAGTTGAATGATTCAATCTATTCTTGACTGTTCCATAAATCATTACATTGTCTAATGAGCAGTTTGCGTGAGGGCCCCTTACAACAATAAATTCCGATGACCATAAGGTAATAATGTATGATTAATTTGAGATAAACCTATATTCATCTCTTTCAAGATGGATTGCCTGAGAGACAATAAAATATAAAATGTAGGATGTAGGTAGTCGAGTTGTTTTGATTGTAAGAAGCCAATAGATAAATTAATGTCATTACTGCAATTAAGCAAAACAAGAATACTGACTGAATTTTCTCATTTATTATTCAGAAAAGTACATGTACGAGGGCTGATCAATAAGTAATAGGCACTTTTACACAAACATTTTAAATGGATCAATCTCTTTGATCTTTTTACAAGTGATACACCATTCCATTAACAATCAAACCTGTAAATGAGGCTACTTTAATCCAGTTAGACTTTGTATACAGTGTATATGCAAATCTTTATTTTTCATGTACATTTGGCCATTATAGAAAAGTTATCCATGGATGTGATTGTTGGTACTTTATATCAGGTGCCTTTGGATTAAATGTGATCTCAAAATCTTAAGCTTAACAAGATTTTGGAATAACATAATTTGTGGCTATGGTTAAAATGCTCCAAGCACACGCCTTGTAACTTTTCACAGTGTCACATTACACTAAAATCCTTAAGTATAATCATATAATCTTTACTCTATTATTGTTCTTTAACTATACTTAAAGTAGAAACCTCTACTTAATAGGTCTTTTAAAGTGCATTATTTAACCTTACACCTCTCGGTTACATGCCAAAATGTAATTTTTATGCCCAATTTAGCAAAATACAGCAAAATGTCCGATCCAATTAGAAAGTTTGTTGTGAAAAAGTGAGATTAATATCATCGTAACATGTTATCCCATCCAAAAAGGAAAATTATGTAACAAGTTCTCATAGTTCTGTGATTACTTGATTTTGCTATTTCAAATCACAGTGTATTGATAATTTGATTCACAGTTTTACACTAATAAAGTGTATTATTTTGTACTGACATGCTTGAGTGTCAAATTTAAAAAAAAGAAGTCTAACAAGTTTAACATTTGAATAAATTTCTCGATAACAGTATTTTTTGCAAGGGACTGAACATTTTTCAATCTAAAAATAAATCAATAAATCTTCTGGACAAATTATAACCAGTTAATCCATAATGTATGCAAACACTTGAAATATGAAAATAACCCCAGAACATGACTGGAGGTGTGGAGACGTTAAACACGCGAGGTTGAGAAAGAACCATCTATGCACTTGTAATTATTGGCTATTGCTATGGACATTTATCTGTCAATAAAATTCCAGGGGTGTTGCATATTATATACTAAAAAGGGACAATTACGGGAATTATCGATGTTTAACTTAGATGACTGTAACACTCCATATTCTATATTAATAAAAATCCAAGAATATCTGAGCTTTGATCCATTTTCAAGTGAATATGACCAGAATAAGCGTGGCCAGATGAACATTTTTGATTAGGTTGTAGATTTATGAAGCAATGTTTTAGCAACATCACCATAACATTGTGTTTTGTAAAGCCACATTCATAAATTGACCTTTAATAATAATAATGAAATTCTCTTGATAGAGTTAAGAAGACAAATCTAATATCTTATTGGTAATAATTTTTATTTACGAAACAAAGCCAACTGCAAAAAATTGCAGTTCTTTGAGTTTATGAAGAGTCCACAGAAATGCTTATTCTAAGTTATTTCTCTCAAAAATGCCAAACTGAAAACTTTTTAGTGTTTCAATACTCTAATATTTATAGAAATGGGAAAAATCTTAACTCAGCTTTTTCATTTGCAATATTTGAAGCACTAAAACAACACTTCAATTGCCTGAATGAGAGCCCTGTATTGCAAAGACACTATGTACTAATAAGACTTACATGTCTATCTGGGGTAGGAATCACAAGACCCTTGAAGAAGGCATTGTTTGAAAATATTTCCATATGTCTCGGAAGTAGATCACCTGAAAAACAAAATATTAATTCATGAATGAGCATTTATGTACACATTTTGGAAGTTAATGAATTATTTAAAAATGAAATATTTCAATACACACATCAGGAATAAGTCCAACCCCTGTTTGGTTTGCATTACTGAAAGACACAACATTCAATGAAGCTATATACTGTACAGCATATTTACTGGGAGGGATTAGAGGTATTAGTCCGAGGGACAACATGGTATTTCAAAATGTAAAATATGTAATGGGATGTATTTCTGTAAGGATTCTTAAATTTGTAAATTCATAAGTGTATTGTTCTGTAACTATGACAATGACATCACAATTTCCATGGCAACACCAATGTATTTATGATTATTCATTGCTGAGAATATTCCAATAATGCACCCCCTGGTGATAAAATTGAACTTTCAATCTCTAAAAATTCAACAATTTAGGTAGTCACACATAGGATGATAAAACTTGGTAAATTAAAGTAACATGTTTTCTAGTAACTACAGCATTACATTATACCTGTATTAAAGACGTATATCAAATGTGGCTTGTAATTTCCATTGTAATTTTTCTGAACATGACATGAAATTTATCATAATAGAAATTAATATATCAAATGTGACTTCTAATTTGGATTTTCAAGAGCCTGCCTTCCGTTTCGTAACGTGACTATTCAGCTTGTATCAATAAAAACCCTCGGAAAGGTTAACCCTTTACGAGAAAAATGTGTCGAAAAAATAAAACAGAATATATATTTAATCATAAAAGTGCATTCATTAGTTCAGACTTGCAATTAAATCAAACTTATGGAAGAATTTAGACATTTGGACAAATCATTCTGGGAAATTAGTCAAATGAATGACTGACTAAAATTTTCTTGAACAGATCGTGACATATATTTGGGTATAGATTCGAGGTCACACTTGACGTAATTACAATTAATAACTTAATCTTGTCAAATTAAATTAATATATCATCCATTCATCATACAGAAATATATGCCAAATTGCCAATTTTTCTTATTTCATATCTGACTTTGTTGTATTTCTATGTTATTTGGCAGATGTGACATTAGTTACTGTCACAAGTAAGAATATTTAGCAAATGTCCAAAATTTTCAAGATACAATTCTAAAATCTTTATTTCAAGAATATAGGAGATATAACAGATAACTTAAAGCCTTCATCTCACATATAATTTATATGAACTTATTACTAAAGAATTTTTCCAAGAAAAGCCAATTAATGACTTCAATCCATTTGCAAAAATACCTGTTATCAATGATTTTTAATATGAAGGAGGATAAATATCAAGTCACGTAATACCTCATCCACTTATTACTTCTAGTAGATCCAGTTGCTATCGCAACAAAAAACAAACCTTGATGCTAATGAATGTAAGAGATTGAATATAAATTGATGCTTCAAATATCAAGATATTAAAGTGCTGGTACTTGTTTAATAGTTCCAATTACAAGATTGTTTAATCTGGTGACGTATTTTCATATTTTTCCCTGCTTTCAGCGTTCACCACTTCACCTAACTACACATTACTTCCACTATATTTAAAAGGACGTTGTCTCTATCATTTGAGATTAAAGGGATACTGTCTCTATCATTTGAGATTAAAGGGATACTGTCTCTATCATTTGAGATTAAAGGGATACTGTCTCTATCATTTGAGATTAAAGGGATACTGTCTCTATCATTTGACATTTAAGGGATACTGTCTCTATCATTTGACATTAAAGGGATAATGTCTAGAATCATTTGACATTAATTATAAAGGGATACTGTCTCTATCATTTGACATTAAAGGGTTACTGTCTCTATCAACAAATATTTAACAGACATTCTCTCTATCGATAATCATTGAAGGGACACTATCTTTCACATAAAATACATTGATGGGAAACTGTCTCTGTCATAATACATTAAGTGGACATTCTCTCTATGATAGTGAAATTAGGTTAATTCATATCATTGACAGCGTTAATTTCCAAGTTATTTTTATGAAAAGTGTTTGTTTGAGTTCAAGTAGATGTCTGTTTTTGGTGAGAGTGAGTACTTTGAATGATTTTAATGACATGACACGACACTCCATAGGAAAGGTGTTGACTTACTTTTCAAATACGAGAAGGTACTTGGAATCTATCATCAAATATTTCATGAGTACATTCTATGACATGGTTGAATACTTTTTCATGTAAATACTTAGCTTACATTATTTCCTGACATTTCTGGGTTGATTAACTAAATGAGTGTGAACTTTATTCCTTGTTTATTCAACTCTAGGTCACTCTTTTTTACTTTTCAAAACATTAATCCATGACATATTTTTTCAGGAATATCTAGGTTGCCAAATACGTGTAATTTCTCTATTTTGTAGCATTTCTCTTATTGGCTACTGTGACTTCATCCACATGGGAAACTTACATTAAAGCATAGGCACTCTAATTGAAAGACCATGATTAAAGCTATGGGAAATAACTGTCTTCATGTCGAGATCATACATGTTCTCAAATATATGTTTTTCAAATATAAAATAATCTGCATTTTGACGCTTACCTAAAGTTTTCCTGATGCAATGCAGTTGGTCAACATCTGACCTCCCAGGCCATAACGCCTGTCCAGTTAGGAGCTCTGCAAATACGCAACCTATAGCCCAGATATCAACAGGAGGGCCATACTGGGTGTCCCCAACAAGTAGCTCGGGGGCGCGATACCAACGTGTCGCCACGTAATCTGTATAGTCATCCCCTGGTCCAGCTAAAATGAAAAATATGATTTAAATGAAAGGAATGTATGTGTTAGACGGGTAAGAAAATTTGAGAGTTGGGATCGGGGTAAGAAAATTTTAGAGAGGTTTATGACCGTAAGAACAATTATATGTACAATGTATATTAGCACATCAAGTGGAAGAAGTAAGTGGACAATCAAAACATGCCACAATCCAGTGACATTCGCAGGATCAGAAGTAATATCATAAAGCATGGCGATAGAGTTGATAGGTCACACACTGAAACATTGTAAATAGGAACACTAGATGAAGTTTCACTTTTCATCTACGGAATACCATGAAAAATCTATCAACTTAACAATTAGCCATTGGGAGAATTGAGGTTATTTTAATAGGATTAAAGTCAATAGGCAATGAGTACATGTCTTGGGTATATTTATGATAAAATGTCAAAGCACCCATGGGCTTGAAAATTTTTAACATTCTTTCGTATAGATTAGGATAATGACCTATAGATCAGAAACCGGGCACTTCACATATTTGAAGTTTTTGGATATCACAATATTATTTATTTATTGTATCCATGGGCTTTCAAGAGAAAATTCATTGATACTTGAAAGCCCATTTTGTATCTCAATTCACAAATAATCCAATGAAGTACTATTGCTTGTCTAAATCAAAACCACTTATTGATCCACTTTTAGAGTTTTAGCCCTTTTTGGGTCAGAAAAACACAAGGTATAATGACAGATGCCTTTAACACATTAATCCCCCAGCAAGAATCTTACAAGACTGACGTAAATTTATATTGTCTATTGACCAAACTTTTAGCCATTTTTGGCCAGAAAAACACAAGCTATATCAACGGATGCCATTTACCCATTAATCCCCCCAGCAAAAATCTTGGAAAACAAACTGACATAAGTTTATATAGTCTATCTACCAGATTACAGCCCCTTTTGGGCAGAAAAACACAAGCTATATAGTCACATGCTGTTAACTCAGTCACCCTCCAGCTAAAATCTTGAAAAGTAAACTGACGTAAGTTTATTGAGTTGAGTTATTCCTGTTAAAAGCCGTTACATAAACATTACAAGTCATTATCGCAAATCTGCCATAATCTAAACAGAAGGATGTGAATTAATCGCCAGAGGAAACATGATTTTAAACTCTAGATATAATCAATTAAAACGTTAACAGAAGAGAAAATCAGCTTTGTTATCGTCAGGTAGCTAAGATAAGGGTCAAGGGCTGTTCTTGATACCTTGTAGTAGTTCATTATTTGCCTTTAACAAAATATTGGTCTCGTTCTTTAGATTCTCTTTATTGTTAAGGATAATTTGAGGAATAATTTTGACCTTCTATAAATTAATTAGATTTTTTTTAATCAAGCATCTTACATATCTCATGAGGGTCTCTCAATTCTGCTTGATATTGTAAAATTCAGATGATCATTTGAGACGTAATTCATCAGAATGCAACATAACAGTGATGTTTTACCAGCGAAAGTTTAATGTATCTTTGATTCCACTTGTGCAAATTTTACATAAAGCAAAAAATGATCATTTTGATTCTAAAAAAAACTTCTTTGTGTTCAAATCATTGTCAAATTTTTGTTTTGGTTTTTATGACATGGCGTACAATCAAAACATTCGTATCAATATCAAATTCATTTTGACTCCCATGTGCCATCCTACAGAAAAACAGAAATATTATTAAAATGTAATCAAAATACTATTTGTATTACAAAACGTAACTATCTTCTACTCCATCAATGAAAATAACTAATTTGAAACAGTTCAAGAGTATTTCAAACATTACTAATTTGGCTTGGAATTGGCACTGTTCTGATTAATACAAAAGGTTGGTTGTCTAATTCATAATAATTATGTGCCTACTTCATCTTGTTATTTATCTATATAAACAATCATAGAGATGGGGTTGCTAAGTAACATCATGTCCTTTAATTAAAGGACCCATGCAACTGAAAATAACAACTTCAAAACCCTAATTAATATAGATATACACAAAGAGACAAATACATAAGATGCATGATATAAATGCTCAAACTGAGAGACAGGTTTCAACTAAATTCAAAGTTAATCTTATTCTTTGAGCTCTAATATTAACATATCTACATCAAAAAAATCACTTTGTGAGGACCACCTCGCGGACAAAGGAAATGTAAAAAAAACTTTCAAACAAATGGGTCATTTTCTTGATACAAACTCTATTTTCCGGTTAACTGCACCAATCAATTAGATGAAGTATCACATTAACCCTGGTCAATAATGTTAGTTTATTATACACTGAATGATACAGGTGCTTGTGTTTTGATTGCCTTTTAAAGAATAAAGTGAATTACTTTGCCCGTAATTGCAAAACACCTACACCGTTCTCTTACAACATTGAAAATCAATAATACGTCAATAAAGCTTGTCCAGTTAGGAGCTTGATTGGTCAAGCGATGTCATGCGATCACAAATACACTTTACCCAGATTTTACTTACTAAGTAGCCGAGCGAAGCCAAAGTCACAAAGTTTGACGACTCCATTCTTTGTAATTAAGATGTTCTCCGGTTTAACATCTCGATGAATACACTGAAAGAACAATAGTGCAAATATATAATATGAGGGCCCTATATTTCAAATACACATGATTGTGAATTAAGTTTACATAAGGATTCAGACGACAGTTTTGCATTATAATCTCATGTCTTGCCTCCCCTCCTGACCAACACAGATGAGGGTGGGGGTATATTACAGTAAAACCTGTATATACAAACAACTCTCTTATCTGAACATCTCTCAATGTGTATACTTTTTTGGTTCCATTTTTAATTTGCCATATACCCCCATGCTAAAAAAACTTCACATTTGAGCAACACCTGCCAATCTGAACACTTTTGGCTGGTCCCAATGGCTTTCAAATGAGACATGTTTTACTGTTCTTAAAGGGCAGAAGACTAAATGTACTTCAGGCTCCATAATAGTAGACATGTGACATGCAAAGATAGGTGGATTATTCTATTTTAGTATAATTCCTATTTCATTTTTATGCACGTCACGCAAAAGATAAAACAGATTTGTCAATGATTGTTAAGTCGTCAAAACAATATCTCATTGAAAATGTATTACATACCCAGTCTAGGTCTTAATGAAGAACTCTCAGTGGGTTAGAACTGAGTTAGTGTCTAGTCACCATGCCCTTTCTCTCTGTAATTTCCCTGCTTTGTTTTCAATTATCAAAAGAGGATATTTTATTCATTTATGAGGTTATGACGTATGGATTATGACGTAAATAAAATTCACTGCGTCAAATTGTATTTATTAGTATTAAATTTTTTTTATTTGGGAGGGGAGTTTAATTCTTTGTATACATATACTTTGATCAGGGGCAGAGCACATTTTGAGAGTTATCATTTAAAAATTATGTATATTTAAAATATGAAAATTAAGAATTGTCTGTTCAAAGAAAACAGTAATGATTCCAATGAAGCCTGATTTATAAAATCCTTCAAAAAAATGATTATCAATCGATCAAAACGTTCTCTTAATGTCTTACATTGAATCTACTCAAATCATAAAATAATTACCATTTCAAATGAAAACACAATGTCATTGTCCCTTCAATTCATATTATGATCTACATTCACCCTGGGAATGTTGCTAAGATGTGAAAAACATTTTGAGTGGGAACAAAAAAATGTTGCAATTATCCCAGTAAAAAAAGGTAAATTAAGTGAATAAGTAAGAACAAAAAGTTCAAATTGGAATCTCCACACAATAATTTCAGTAAATAGTCAATACTATGACAAAAGAGGAAAAAAATATTAAGATTGGTTTATTAGATTGAAAGGTATGAAGTAATTAAGGTGCTATATAAATCAATGACCACATGGGATCTTTTGTTGCTTGGAATATTGACAATATTGACAACAATCACCTAGCGTAACAATAACACCATATTGGAGTTGATAAATAGAGACAATAAAAAGTAAACAGATGGAGATACAGGTATGTGGTATGACAGGTTTAAGAACTGTATAAGTGCACTTTATGAATGTACATTTTACATGTACATGTACTGTATATGAGCGTGTAATTAAACAGAGGAGAAATTCAAGCTTATTCCTTTGTAATTGCATTTTTTCACAATTTGCTCTAAGCGTTTATTCTGCTCCAAGTGAAAATAGTCCAAACTCCCCTCCCAATAAGAAGCATCGATCTCCCCAGGATTTTTTCTCAGGTGGGTGCAAAATTCTCATTTTTACAATTTAGACCAAAATTGGTCAAAAGATGCCAATGTTTAATGATTTTCTCATTTTCAAGTGGGTGTAAATGGATTTTCAGGTGGGTGCAAGACTGTTTTCAGAATCTCAGGTGGGTGCTGCGCCCACTTGCTTTAATGCTTGGGAGATCACTGAGAAGCATTTCAAATTTCAATGTATACATTGGCCATTGATATGATATTCAAAATGTTCTAACCAATATTAACTGTTGCGGCTTCAAGGTTTCCTTAATTTTTCCTTAATCATTTTTTAAAGACTTGGAGAGACTATTATTACATCTTATACATCTACATCATGTGACTTACATTGTGTTGATGACAGAACTGTACCGCACATAACGTCTGATATATAATTCTTTTAGTTTGTATTTCTGGCACCCTGAAAGAGAAACAAAAATATATAAATGACATAAATAGATGAAATCATTTTAAACATTAGGAAGCCGGGAAGAATACTTTTGAAGACTTTGAACAAATTGAATTGTACAGGTAACTGGTTGTAATATAATTTCAATTTTCAAGGTTAGCATTGAAATTATTATTCAGAACATGTCCTTATTCAGAACATAATAATACCAAGGCATTAACATATAAAATGCCACAACCTGCAATTTTTACAGATGCCGAGTGTCAAACACCAACCACCGAATGGCAAACACCAATTACAGAACATCCTCCACAAAAAAGTTGGAGACTATAGAAATATGTCACAACTTGTGGTTGTGACATTATTGTACTGTACATTGTATAGTACACAAAGATGGAGTTACTTACCCTTTCGGATGTCTGTCTAGTTCGTTTAGCACCGTGTGATCGACATATTCAAACACTAGATGTAGCCGTTTCTTGCGTTTAAATACCTCTATAAGATTCACTAAGTTGATATGTTTTAATTGCTGAAAAACACAAAAATAAAGCACATAAATATAAAGAGTTAAACATTTCATGTATAATACGAGGGGTGATCCAAAAGTCTTGGACGCCCCGCTCTAACTTTGCTATTTTCTAACATAATTACATGAAAATTTCAGATAATAAAGATCAACATCTTAACAATTTTGTGTATAAGTTTCAACAGAAAATAATATATTTTAGCTACTTTTCTAAATAGTTTTTAGTACCGGGTCGCGGCCACCCGGAACGGTATTTGAATAAAGCAAATCACATCACAACTGTTATAATATGGCAAATACTTTAGGTGCGGGTGCACAACCTAACACCAGTCATGATATGAGAGAATTTCCAATTTTCAATCTGAGTGTCATCTGCCATCATCATCTTCACATATTGAGACCTACTTTTCAACATATTTTCCATGAATTTGAACACATTTTTCATACCACTTTACCAAAGAATGGAAGACATTTAAGAAACCGCCATTGCTTATGTGATACAAATGCTGCTGGGGTGCCACTCTTAACCTCATCCAATGAGTAAAAAACGTTTTCTTTCAACCCTTCTTTCAGCTTAGAGAAAAAGGAAGAAAATCACACAGAACCATAAGACTGTATATGGTGCATATGGTAGCTGTTCATGGTCAATAATAGTGAAAATATCTCGAAGTATACTTTGTTCCACTTTGATTTCTTTCATGTTCTCCATTTCAGCAGCCATCTTGGAGCAAAAATGATACCAGAATGAGGGTTGCTTGTCTGATGTCATTTTCTTAGAATTAAACATATACAGCCATTGTCATATATGACATGATAATTAAAACACAATTAATTGATTGCTTAATAACAAAGAAAGTAAACTAACATGGTTTATCAATCAAAATTCAAAGAAAGGTAGTGCGAAACAAGTAAAATGGCGGGAACATTTAGGGCTGAAAGTTGTCATGTGCGAATACCGTTCCGGGTGGCAGGGTCTCTATATTAAAAACTATCTAGAAAACTACATCAAATATATAATTTCTCCATGAAATTAACACACAAAGTAGTTAGGTTGTTGGTCTTTATTATTGGAAAGTTTAAAGTAATTTTATCAAAAACTAACAAAATTAGAGCAGGGCGTCCAAGACTTTTGGATCACCCCTCGTATTGTTATGAGTTTTGTATTGGGCCCTCTAGAATTTCAGAGGTTGTAGGTTTTCTCACACTGGTATAAGGTATATAGCATACCTGACCCCCATCCTGACCTCTATCCCCCTACCCCTTATTTTACAATCCAGATATCCTGATTTGCTTGGAAGAGAAGCTTAGAAACAATAAAAAAGATAGATGTTAAATGAATCTTGGTTGGAACACCTCCCAAATGGAACACTTATTGGAGGTTCCAAAGGTGTTCCATTAAGACAGGTTTTACTGTATTAGAAAGAGTAAGAATTATCTTTCTTAATTTTACTGAGGAATGGCTCGAGCTTTTATGACCACACAATGGGTAAATCAGTCAATATTCTACCTGTTAATTGATCGAGTATTATGTAACAACCAAGGTAACTGCTAACCTTAGTCAACCTCAGCATTATACGCAGGGTGGTATTAAAAATCTTCTATAGATAGTCTTTGATATAAAGCTTGTTTTCTACAAATACCAAGATTTGACACACACTCATTTTGTAAAGAGCATCATATGAATAAATTGCAAGGGGTGCATACGCTTTTTTCCATATTCAAAAGCTTATCAATTCAGTGACTATGTGAGCTAATTTTCTAAGCTCTAATTCTATCTACATAAAATAAGGTTTGTAATACCATGGACGAGAGTGGAGAGTCTAGTTATAAACTACCATCTGAATAGACTTACAATTTAGCAGCCCTACCCCTATAACACACTACCCTACCTCGATCACGCATGCGCGAATCTTTTGGCTTTCAAACATGTCGCTTTTCAGTATATCGACTGCTTAGTCAAAAGGTTAATACGTTTGGTGCTCGGAGTGAGTCAATATTGCTATTCGCTACACTTCAGCGGTGCAATAGTGAAGTCCATGTTCCAAGTTATATGATAATTGAAGAAATAATGTAAATAATATTGTTTTAGATTTTAAAATATTTGATATGTCATAGTACACGGTACACAGTTGCAAAAGTTGATCAATACAGGGTACAAGGAATGTAAATTGTTCAATAGTACAGGGAGCGAGAAAGTAATCTGATTATACAGACATACTATGTCCCGACCTCATGTACATTTACGTTGCAAACAGTGAAAGTAATGCTAAAAAGGCCGCCTGTTGATGCTTTGAGGTGTCATCAATTGTTAATTAATCCAAATAAAGTAAACATTATTTTGTAGATTTAGACACGGGCTTTCAAGTCGTATGCATTTTAGTCATTAAATTAACAAGAACGCTAGATTATACGTGTTACTAGGGTATCAAATTGAAATAAAATAACAAAATTAAATACCAACATATTAATGATAAATGACTATCCGCTATCAGTATTAATGACTATTTGCAACTCAGAATAATTAAAATTGCCTGAACTACATGTGAAGAATCTTTCTATAGAACCCCTTGAATGGTCTAATTCACTACCGTCCTAAAAAACCGACCATTCAAAATGTTTTGTTCAAATTCACAAAAATACAGTTGACTAACATACTAGAAAACGTATCCACCTATAACACGATGACACGCTGTTTAAATAACAGTTAACCTGGTTTTTTGTTACATATCAATGTAACATTTTCGAAGGGAAACTTACATGCTCCCTGTACGTTGATAGATTTTCTGAAATGTATCGTGTATTACATTTGGTTTTGCTTCACTGCGCCCACTATTATCTATCTTTGCCTATAGTGGTTTTTTGCCAACAATATTCTACACACTCCTTGATGAATCAATTCTATGTCTGGTAAAACACTAGAAATAAATGTAAAATGTATTTTACGTTCAGAAATATGGAATTAAACCCACGTCCTCCATTTGCAACTAAGCTGTACCCTGTTTCCCTTTTAAACGTGGTCACGTGGTAGGGTAGTGTGTATAACCAGTACCTGTGAATGCAAAGGGATGGTTATTACTGTCTACTGATGATGTAAGTCACAAGCTTAATTCTAATACTTTTTAATAAAATATTTTGTGTCCTTAAGGTACAGAAACAGGCACTGAGCCCCTTAAGCGTGTCTCTCCACATGATCATTTGTATTATGACGTTGCTATGCTGTAATAAACAGCCGATGGGATTGCATGATTACAGGAGAATATAGTGAGTGCAATTAGTTTGAAATCGTATGTGCCTTTTGGCTCCATTGAACAGTGCTTTTATAGCACTTGGAATTGATATGATCAATATGGCTGTTACTGGGTTGTGTCAGCCTAACTCGATCTAATAATCTGAGATAGACCCATGCATGGACAGGTATCATCTAAGAATATCTTCAAATTAGGCGGCTTGTCGAGAAATAATCACAAGGTTCAATACTAGGATACAAATATAATATCAGTCTTGCATGAAGCTCCCTCGTCTCTTTCATAATACACATTGTCAGGAAAAAGAAATTTTGTTGTGATTACGCAAGTCATCATTGCATGATCAGCTTTATATGATGCAAACAACCTAATGAAATTAAATATATATCATAAAACTTTTGTTAAAGATAGACATACTATCAATTATTGAATTCATGTTTTGAATCTATTAATCTATTTGATTCACTAGTATTATGGCAACCAGTAAATCACTTAGATTCTATTCAAAGAAGGAACAAGTGGCAGGTTGGGTTTTGTACATGAAATGTGAATGAACATATACATGGTTTCATGATCAACTATAATGTAAATGACCTCAATGTTTGTTTGGTTTCCTTGACAACGATCCTGTGTGTCAGAGCTTGATATAGTGTGGATGAAGCTCTCTTTTAAATAATCAAAATAAAACTATGAGAAAGGTACTTGACATTTAGCACCTGTAAATCTCTTGTTATTTAGAGACCCATTAAATAAGCACTAGTTAAATAACTCAATTATTCATTAATACCTCAATATAATAAAAAGAACTTTTATTGCAGTTAAGTACATTTCCTGGAAAATACATTCCTGATATAATTTATTTATACCAATGTCACCCTTCTCAAGAACATAACCCTAAGTCTGAATAAGTAAGTCTTAACTTTTACAATCTCACATTAACTCAAACTCAAATTAGCTAGAATATAAACACCTGCTAATCTGAACACTTTCGGCCAGTCCCCGTGATGTTCGGATTAAATAGGTTTTAATGTACTCCCATATATAACTCTAGTATCTGCATTTGAGATAAGTAAGATCCAATATGATTAACCATTTATTAAAGTCAGAGTATGATTTTGTTAGCTAATTGCAACACATGGTTCTGCTACATAACATAAGAACCAGGTTGCCCTTGTTTTGTTTTATTTATGTTGTATAGAATTATTTGGATCTATGGTTGTCACAACCAACATTTACATCCAAGGTAAACAACACAAAAAATCATACATATTATCATACTAGAAAAATGTCGAAGGAACAGATTCTTCAAAGACTGAAAACTGCAACTTGCACTTACTCTTACAGATTCATCAATTATGAAATAAAAACATGTAGAAAATAACAAATGAAATAAGCAAAAAATGAAATGAATATCAAACAAATACAAAATACTGTAAATGATATCGATTAGTATTCATATACAGTTTTTTCATTTATTATTGAATCACCATAGCAACTGTGTACCCCCTGCACTAATATAAGACTAAGTTACAAGAGTTCCAAACAACTTATAATTTGTACTTGTATAAAAATGTTATTGACTTGCTTATAAAATGTGTTTACGGGAGTCAACAATGAAAATTCAAAATTATTGTTCTTTGCAATTTGCAACACAAAATATTGAAAAATGAATGATTGTAAAGCTAAGGTCTCAAACTGTTTCTTAAAGTGCATTTAGCAATAATATTTTTCCTAACTCTATACATATACTTACTAAAT